GCATCTCCTAGAAACGTCAGGAAAGCTACACCCATGATGAAGTCTCAACAGCATGCCTGCCTAAAAGACATAAACAAGGATGGCACTAACAGACATGCTCACATGACGACGGGAAATTTCACAGGGCCTCAACCAACCCTGAGCAAGGGATGACAGGTCGCAATAAAGGGATGCTGAGAGCATGAGAAATAATTTCCCCAGGGAAGAGGCTCCCCCACCCCCACTGGTTCTCTAGCACAAAATGCATACAAGTCACATTATATAACTGCTTTCTTCACTTTAAGTGTTTCGAGCGCACCGATGAGGCTCAGCGGAGTGCCATTGTAGGAAAACGGCAACAGCGGTGCTGGTTTGGATTCACCGTTCGTCCACGTGGTCTGCCCATCTCAGCATTTATTGTCAAGTTCTTATTTATGTTAAAGTCGAGTAAATTGGTTTTTTTTATTATATCACTTATGCTTGAAGACATCAGTGCAGCAATTTTTGCACCAGAAGTTTTTACAGTTTTACATTTTAAATGACTAATGCTGGTTATCTCACCCATGAAAATGTGGTCATTGTCTATCTTATTGTGCTTTCTATTTTCAAATATGAACTTAGGCAGAAGCCATTGACTTACAATCTTGACATCTCCTGAGGATAACTGGTCCAGATGACTGGATCTGACAGTTGACTCTCCAGGTTAACTTTGACAATTTGGAGGAAACAATAAAATTTCAGGCACCTGGAACAGGAAATGTAAAAAAGGGGTATTGTTTGTTAAAATATCATGCCGTGTCATTGCAGCAAAGCAAAGTTTTTCTAAATTTATTTCATTAAAGAAGATAGAAATTTTGAAAAATTTACACAAACCACAAAATCAAGGTGTGGATTTTCAGGGCTTTGCTCCAAGTAGTTGTACTGATCTTCTGGCTCTGTGGCTAAGCCTTGCTCAGGGCTTTCTTTAGTAAGTAAATGTCCAACAAGCAGAATTCCTGTTTAGAATGAAAGTAGACAAATTGATGCCCTGTAGGTAATATCAATGAAAAGATATTCTCAGCTTCCATTTGTTAGGAAGATGTGAGGTCCTTACTGTGGTTTTTAATTGTGGGATGGAGGCGTAGCTCAGTGGAGGGAGCGCTCATCTATTGTATGCATGAACCCAGAAGTTCAGGCCTTTGCACTGCATAATCCAGGTGGGCGCTGACAAGTCCGGGGAACGGAAGTGCATGCTCACCCTTGGGTGCTCATAAGTAAGTCTGAGGCCAGTCTGGGTTAGCTGAAACCTTGTCTCAAGATAAACACAACAATTAAAAAATTAAACAGAAATTTGCAAAATGTGCACATTTGCAAAATATAATAACAGGTAACCGAAATGTGCCTGAGTGGATGACATCACCCAGGGGTTACCAAGTTCTTTCAGTGTATCAATGCGTTCTTCTGTGTGTGTCTTCCCATTGATTCTTGGTCATCTTTGGAGACGGGAAGTAAAAAGGTATCCCTGAGTTTTGTACTTTTGCTGAAGAGCTTTCTGATAAAGGGGAAAATTGGACTTTGGCAATTTAGAGCTTTGTTTATTTATTTTTTCAGATTAGCTCACGGTAGAATGTCAAACTCAAGTCCTCCTTAAAATTTTCCAAGTCTGACCCATGTTGGCTTTGAGTGTGACACCTGAGTTGGGAAGTCAGACTATATCCACTGATAGAAGAGTGTGTGAATTGAACCAATGTTCCAGCACAGGTCTACTCAGCCCTTTTGTAGAGGGCAGGTGACGTCGTTGCTGGTGAGGGAGGAAGGAGGAAAAGTGGACAGCTTGAATAAAGCCTAGTCCGTTTCAGCTACAATAACAGCTACCAGGAAAATGGGTAACTTGTAGATAGCAGGAAGTTATGTCTCACTGCTCTGGGCCTAGGAAGTCCAAGGTGGGTGCAGGTTGGGTGTCTGGTGAGGGCCCACTCCTTAATTAGCCACACCTTCTCGGTGTAACTTTCTCACCACAACTTCCCATAATGAAGGGCAAGGCCTGTTGACTGAGGGCATAATCCCATTCAGGAGTGCAGAGTCATGAGTGAGTTTGCCACCTCCCAAAGGGCCCTGCCCTCTAATACCATAACTTGGGAGGTTATGTATGACAAGAGCTTCAAGTCTTTAAAGAAAGAAATTAAAGAATATATAGCCTTTTGAGCATGGCATTTTTAGGAGGTTCACAAACATTTAGCAGAGGCCGAGGAAAAGGTTATTGAGGTCACTGTGAGAGTACCCCAATTAATTTTGAGTTCTAGTTTTAATTTTATCAAGAGGACACACCTTGGCAGTGCTAAACAAGCAGTAACCAGGTTTGTCCCCTCTCATAAAGGAAGGCTTGAGAGGGATAAAGATAGAATTCTACTCAGGGCTGGGAGGGATGGAACACAGGGTTGCAGGCCAGGAACACAGGGCAAGGGGAGCATCTGGAAGTTTATCCTGTAATCTGACTCTTGCTTCAGAGCCAGTGACCTGAAGTCAGTGTCTCTTTAGAAAGTCTACATGTGAAACTCAAGAACACTCACTGTGCAAACCATTTCTATTTGTAAAAGAGAGTGTTTCCATACATGGTACTAGAATTTTCTTTAACTTGAGACCCCACCTGTATTCCATTAAGTGGGCTTAAGTTGCATCTAGTTATTTTTAGATATCATAAAACATTTTTTTATCCTTGTAAGAAACATCCTAAAGGTTCTTCCTTAAGAATCATAATTCATAACTCATCAAATGATTTGCATGCTCAGTATTTGCCAAAACCGTATGTTCGTTTCCTCTTTAGTGTTTAATAAAATAGTATTTCCCTCTAGTGACTCAGATTTTTTGAGGGTGAGTGTGTGCTCTCCAGAGTGCTGTTTTTTTTTTTCTTGTGGCTGTTTCCGTGTTTGCACACGTACAAGAAAGCTGAGGTGTGAGGAGGGAGGCTAATTTCATTGTGTATATGCTGCTACTAAGGAGTATCTCTGGACAAATTTGCCAATGTGGGAGGAGTTGGTTAAGCCACCAGAAGGTATCTGTCTCTGTTGTTTCCTTCCTCTGTCCCTGACTTCACTGACAATAATCTGTTTTATTATTCATTCCAGAAACTGAGTAGAAAATGCTCTTGAAATTACTGACACTATATTACAGAAGTGATAAGTCATGTCACCTGGTAAACAGAGTGACCTTGCCAGAGTCACCGGTGACTCAGTGGGTGGGCCAGGAGTTTATGACCCTTCTCTCTGAAAAGGACAACTGTGCTCAGGCAGCCTGAGAGAGTACATGTTACTCCTTCTCATATTAACTCCTAAGTTATGTAATTGGAAGGTTGTAGTCTGTGAAAAACATTCTAAAAAAATACCACTGCCAGATAGTGAATAACCATAAATGATTTTTAGGTGTACTATGTCAGAATTATGTGATTAAGTAATGCCTCACTTTATTCCTCCATGCATTGCCGAAGAACCAGAAATACTGGAAGTATGGAAGCATTCAGTCAAAAGGGGAAAACTTGAGGGATTAACTTATAGTTGCCAGTTGTTATTAATCTGCTTAATTATTTTCCGGATCCCCAGTTGGTGACTGAGGGAAAACCAGTGTGGACAGAGAAGGGGGAAGGGCTTTTTAAACTACTTGCAATGTACAGTTTGGAGTCACTTCTGAGGAGAGTATTGTAAAGCAGAGGGGCTGGGCTGCTGGATTACATAGCTCTATAGGAAAGTCTGTGCTTAGCCCATGTGAGGCCCTGAGTTCATACTCAGCCGTGGGTCCTCAAAGCCCAGGGGATGGCTGTATTATCTGTGATCAAGTTGTCGAAAGATCCCTGTGTGAACAAACTACAAAAACAAAGCAGCAGCTTTTGTCTGCGAGGCTAAATCTTCATAAGCCAGTGATTTGTCATTTTGGATCCTGCTGAACGGCATTCTGGAGGCTATTAAATGGAGACTTTTTTTTTGTCTTTTTCTTTTTATTCATAGCATACTCAAGTGTATATAGAAATCTCTGGAATGAGGAAGGAGTGACATTCCTTAGGACACCCTCCCCCACACCATACCAGTGCCCTTTGCAAAGGAGGGACCAGTGAATTAGATGATTTTATTTCCTCTTCTGGTTTTGCTTTCCTGTTGGGCCTTATTATAGAAGGAAGAATTGCTTGTTTGGGGGGAGGAATTGTTAGACAGAAAAAAAAAACACTTTTCTATTTCAAGATACTGCTTTGAGGCAGTGATTAATGATGAATTACTCACGTTCACATTGATGGAAAAACACTGTGGTATTAAGTTACTACATGGCCTGACCACTGTGTCAATGAAGAAAAACAACAAATCCATACCCATGGAGATTTAGAAGCAGAACTGTACTTAGTGCAGGGTGTCAAAGATGAGTTTCTTGTGCTCTGGTGTGTAGAGACATAGACATCTTTGCAATATGTGTCATATTAGCTGAAATACACTTAGTATCAGATTTCAGGGTAATTTGGAGGAGTTCTGCTACATTTAATTTTCCCCCAGTCATTCTGCTCTGGTAAGAAAGCAATCAGTGGTGGGCATGAATGAGTGACCGGTAAGAAATAGTTATTTGGATGAGTTCCTTGGCAACCTTTACATGTCAAACAATGTGGGTGGAAGGCTATCTTTCAAAACAAAGACCCAGATGAGAAAACAAGAAAATCCCATTGAGTATTATTATAGGGAAAAGTATTCTTAGGGCCAAGTGAAGGTAATTCTGATGATGGTGTCTTACTGTGTGTGGAAACGGACCAGACTGTGTCTTTCTTTAATGCATGGGAAACCGTTTCTAAAGTCATGGGCTTTGGATATAGAAGTCTCTGATCCAGGGATCCTTCCATCCTTCTGTGCAGAGAAGTTCATTGTTTTGTGTTGTCTTCTGATGGGCCGCTGGCTCAGAACAACAAATCTGGGACCAGAACTCTGCGACCCAGAATTTTGGAGACTATTTCAAAGAGCACTAAAATCACATTGACATGTTTGTAATTGCATGTGTTGTTTATTTACTTTCAGTTTGATTAATAAGCTCAACCCTGGCATCATAAGGAAGATCAATAGACTGTCTACACCAATAGCAGGCTTGGTAAGTGATAAATTACCTTCAAAACTAGTTTTCTTCTTTGGTTTCATTTTATTTTTAAACACCAAGTAGCAATTGTATGTATTTTTGTGTGCCCTGCTAAGTCACTCTGGTATTTTCATATAGTGTAATATGTTGTACATTTCAAAACACTTAGAAGGGAGGACTTTGAATGTTCTGACTTTAAAACTTTATTTCTGTCTTTGAAATATAAGTGGTCATAGTAGGTTCTGTCACTTAAAAGAGAGACAACCCCCTCCTTTTTAAGAGTCTTTCAACACTTCCTTTCTGTCCAGAGGCTTAAAAAAAAAACTTGTTTGATTTTGTTTTGATTATGCTTCAAAGAGTGGTTGTATCTCCTTTCTGGCTGGCTGTCTTCCACACATGGCATGTGAGATGTTCCTGTTTGTCCCACAGGTCTGCCATGCATGAGCTGTTTTCTCGTAGACTACAGCAGCTCCCCAGAGTATCAGGTGTTCCCTGGCTGGGGTGTGTGTGTGTGTGTGTGTGTGTGTGTGTGTGTGTGTGTGTGTGCATGCTGCTTCAGGCTCCTGAGTTATGCTCACTTAGCACACAGATCATAAGTATATCTGCAGAATAATCAAGGCCTACTAGCCCATTTATGATGTGTCGTGTTTCCGGTTCATGTATCTCTGCCTTCTGTGTCAGGGTCCCATGGTTTGTAAAGAAACACCAGTGATTCTCAGATGCCTTCTACTTTTATTACTACTAGTGATTTTTTTGTGGTGCTGGAAATACAACCTTAGGGCTCTATGTCTTCTAGGCAAACACTGTCCCTGAGCTACATTTACAGCCCTCCTGTCTTTAAGGGCCTGGTGTGTGTGTGTGTGGGAGAGGGGCGGGGAGGAGGGGAGGGAGAGGGAGCTGGGATTGACATGTGAAGCAAGTTTGTTTCTAATTTAAATAAAAAATGAAAAAAAAATCTTAAGCCCAAGGGAAAAAAAATACTACACGCTCTCATCTTGTCATTTAGATTTTTAAGACACCGTGGACAGCATGAATCCATCCCTTTGGAAAAAAATGAATGATTAGATAAAATTGAATTAAAATAATTTTCCAGAAGATTTAATAAGCCTTATCAATCAATGCTGGTGGGATGGGAGAGATGGCTCAGCAGTTAAGGGCATCGGGTCCCTTAAGGGCTAAGGGTCCTCAGTTCAGCTCCCAGTGGCTCACAATCACCTGTAACTCCAGCTCCAAGGGACCTGACACCCTCATCTGAACTTAGAGGGTGCTTGTACTCATGTACGCATACCCCATCACATAATTAAATTACAGTTCATAAAAATAATTATTTAAATTAAAAAATCCATACTGGTGACAGAAGTCAGTTAGAAAGATCTCAGAAAGCACTGCATGATCATTTTCCATGGGTTACTCAATGGTCTTCTAAGAATCTGTTTAAAAGACTTCTTTCTGGATGACTTTCATTAGTCACAGCTGTGGCTAATGGCCTGGGTAACTACTGATAGCCATGCCAACAGCTCCTGGGTTTGTGGGAGGCATCATCAAAACTTCACAGGGCTGAGTTTGGCCAAAGATTTATTCCTGGAAAATACCTATCTGGGAGAGAAGGAATGAGGTGTTGAGGTTTCTTTGAAATTTAGAATGCATACAAAGTTCTCAGAGCCACTGGCTGAAATACTGACTCCTTTTAATCCAGTTGCCTCTAGACCTGTCATGAATAGGTAGCTGACCTGCAATTCGTACTGGTCTTAAATTTGAGTAGATAAAAAGTCTATTACATAGTGTGTGCACGTGTACACACACACACACACAGACACACACACACACACACTGTTCAAACTGTTCCATATTCTTCTACTTATTCAAAGAATAACATTAAAGGAATGTGTCCCTAAAGTCTTTCTAGTAGGAAACATTCAGTTTAATAAAATAAACAAGCTTTATATGAAAATGACTTACAAAACAACCTCTGTTTGAATTGTATTGAGTTACACTATCTTTTCCAGTGGCCTGAATTATTCTTAGATATTTTAATTTTTTTGATTTTGAACTTTCATTTCTTGGATCAATTACTTGCATTTTAAATGAAATTAGCCTTTGATCTCAAACACACCCCAAGAATCTGGAATGCTTGAATTGTGGTGTTTGTTGCTGTTGGCTACTGTTGGGTTTATTCAACTTTATGATTGTCTGATTAGATGCAAGCACAAATGTATTTTATTTTTAAGCCCCAAACCCTCTCCAAGTATTTCTATTTCAAGCATCAGAAATTCTCTCCAGTTTGGATTTTATCTTTAGAAGCTAAAATGAAATGCGTTTCCGGTATATTAAATAGAATGCTTTTCCAAGCACAGTGCAGTGAGCATTTCCATGGGGTATGAGTGTGTTCGAGTGACTTTAGCTCTAGAGTGGGCTAAGCCCAATTGGTTTGAGGTGCGCATCACACCTCATCTGATTTCTGACACTTGTTACAGTGGTTGTAACCAAATGTGGCACTGAGAGCTCCAGCATCCACCTGGAAAGGAGTTGGCATGAGGTTTAAGGGACAAGGAAGAGTTTGACATGCAAATCTTCAATGCATGTGTGCTCTTTAACAAATAATTGAAGGCCTGTTGGGTTTAGGATTTTTCTCATATGGAGAATTGTAGAAGGACAAAAGGAGTGTGAACTTTGACTTCAATTTCAGGGAAGGAGAATCACATAAATCAATTAGCAAACAATGAAGGAGGTACCACAAAGTTGAATGTGTTAAAGAACACATTAGACTGATATCCCAAAAAGATTGAGTTCTAATAGTTTCCTACGGAGTAGGGAAGAAACCTGGGTTTTTGACATTTGTGCAAGAATACTGAGTAATCTAGGCCAGACTTTTCTTTTTTTCTTTTTAAATTTAAATTAAAAACAATGTTATTTTATAGACGAATCCCAGTTCCCACTCCCTCCTGTCCTCCCACCCACCCCATCTCCCCACTGACCAGACTCTTCATAGTATTAACATTTATGTTCACTGAACCCAACAGTGACTGATGCATAAGGAGACAGAAGAGTTTGTTAAGCAAGGAATGAGCCATGTTTCCATTGCAGAATTGAGTAGCTTCTAGAATTTGGTGAACTAGGCCTATAGGTTGAAGGGGAGACGCCCCCCTTCCCCAAAGACTTATTGAAGTCCCCGTATGTCATAATGTAACCTTATTTAGGTATATGATTTTTACAGATGTGGTTGGTTCAGATCATCCTGGATAAAAAGGATCCCTAATCTAGAATGAGTAGTGTCTCTAAAAAGTGATGGCTGTGAGAAAGACATGCCCAGAAATAGAGGGGGATGAGGCTGAGGTGATGTAGCCACAGTCCACAGAACAAAGACCACTAATGAATTTCCCAGCAAGAGTCCGTGAAAATTCCCATAGATGTCATAGGAAGCATTTCTTTACCAACACACACTGATCTTGGACTCCTGCCTCCAAACTGTGAGACAATAACTATATACGTCTCTTTTGGTTTAAGCATGAGGTGTTCTCATTTTGTTGTGGTAGCCCTAGGGAACTCATGTGCATAAGTGAATGCTTTTAGTTAATAACTGCTTTTTATCACCACTGTACTTTGAAATAAATGTAGGTTTACAGAAGGTACACAGAGGCCCTGTGTATTATCCTCCTGATTCCCCTCAGTGAGCCTCCTCACAATGTCTGGACCAGGAAACTGATGTTACACTCCAAAAGCCTTCATCAAATTTTGTCTCGTGTGTGTGTGTGTGTGTGTGTGTGTGTGTGTGTGTGTGTGTCAGAGACAGAGAGGGACGAGGAGGGAGATGGACACACAGAGACAGACAGACACACACAGAGAAGGACAGAGAGAGACACACATACACACACAGACACACACACATACACACACAGACACACACAGACACACACACAGAGACACAGAGACACACACACAGAGACACACACAGACTCACACAGACACACACACACACGCACAGACACACACACACACACACACACACACACACAGAGGTTGTCGTCAGGTGTCTCCTTCAGTAGCTCTTCACTTGCATTTCACCAGTTTTCCATACAATGCCTTTCTGAGTAGTGAAGCCTAGAAAGAGTCTTTCAGGGCAAGTCAGGTGAAGACAGTTTATTTTATGCTATATCAGATGCCTCTTGTGGCAAGTCAGTGTACAGCCACAACCATGCCAGCTGTTCCCAACAGCAATCCATCCTCGACATCACTTATCTGAGGTTCAAAACAGCATTCTGAATGGACTAGGCCTTTTTTTCTCTTTCTGGTTATCAGCATGCCTGATCCTTGGAGAAGGTAGTTGTTTGGGTAAATGGCCTTGCCCATGAGCATTGGTTTCCTGGGGATCATTCAGCAGAGGTTTGGAGGTTGAAGTGGGTGGGTGCTTGTGTACCAGTAGATACATCGGAGATGTCAAATGCTTAAAAGAACTTCAGCATGGAAATGTGAGCTGAGTAGTTAGGGTGTTTCATGTGCTTTCTTCTGCGACTCCTATATATTTTTAGCTGTAGTTTTTTTTTTAAACTGAAGGGACCTGTGTATTCCATGTTCTAAAACTAAATGCAATGGACTGAGAAAATCAGGAAGTATGTTCTGAGAGAGACGATTAAGTGGTAAGAGAGATTTCTATTACATGATTTTCTTGAAACATTCATGTAATTGTTTTCTCTAGATGATCAGAGAATGGGTTCTCTTGCATGCTCAAGTGATAGGATTTCCCCGTCTCTCTGTCTGTCTGTCTGTCTGTCTGTCTGTCTGTCTCTCTCTCTCTCACTATCTCTGTTCATTCCATGGTGTGAGTGTGGACTTCAGAGGACAATTTGTACTCATTGGTTCCTTCCTACCACGTAGGTCTCCGGGACCACACTCGGGTCACCAGGCTTGAGGACAAATACCATTACTTAGCAAACCATGTCAGTGGCCCTTACTTGATCCTCTTATTTCATAAACGATTACATTCTTCCCATTTCTCTGCTTTCTATGCATCACAGAAC